CCTTTAATCTCAGCACTCGGGAAGCAGAGGTAGGTGGATCTCTGTGAGTTCGAGGCCAGCCTGGTCTCCAGAGCGAGTGCCAGGATAGGCTCCAATGCTCGAAAAACAAAACAAACAAACAAACAAAAAAAAGAGTGGAGTGGTTTTTCCTCTCTCTTTTACATTTCCTTGTGACCCAAATCTAAAATTTTTGTTTTAAGATTTGTTTTACCTTTAATTCTGTATGTCTATGTCGGGATATGTGTGGTGAGTGCAGATGCCCTTGGAGGCCAGAAGAGGCTGTAGGAACTGGAAATGAGGTGACAGGCAGTTGTGAGGTGCCTAAAGTGGTTGCTGGAAACTGAACTCAGGTCCTCCTAGAGCGAGTGCTCTTAACCACCAAGCCATCCCCCCAGCACCCCTCAACACTACTTGCTTTGTTTTGTCTGAGATAGGGTCTCTTGCTTTCCATGCTGGCCTCAGTCTCACTTTGTAGCTGTGGTGACAGTTTGAATGTAATTGGCCCCATAATCTCTCAGGGAGTGGCACTGTTAGGAGGTGTGGTCTCGTTGGAGTGGGTGTGGTCTCGTTGGAGGAAGTGTGTCACTGGGGGAGGGGGGTGTTCTGAGGTTTCTCATGCTCAGGATACTGCCCCGTGTGTCAGACCACTTCCTGTTGCCTGCAAGATGTAGGACTCTCAGCTACGCCAGGACCACATCTGCCTGCTGCTGCCATGCTCTCTCCCCATCATGACCATAATGGACGGAACCTCTGAAACTGAAAGCCAGCCACCCCAACTAAATGTTGTCTTTATAAGAGTGCATTGCATGCACAGCTGCTGGGAGTGCAAACTTGCACGGCCACTGTGGAAATCAGGATGGCGATTTCTCAGAAAATTAGTGATCAACCTACCTCAAGACCCTGCAATACCACTCTTGGGCATATACCCAAAGGAGGCACACTCACACCACAGGGACATTTGCTCAACTATGCTCATAGCAGCGTTATTTGTAATAGCCAGATCTTGGAAACAGCCTAGATACCCCTCAACTGAAGAATGGATAAAGAAAATGTGGTACATTTACACAATGGAGTACTACTCAGCAGTAAGAAACAATGACATCCTAAAATTCGCAGGCAACTGGACAGAACTAGAAAAAAAAAAAAAAAAAAAAAAGCAAAAAAAAAAAAAAAAAAAAAAAAAAAACCCTGAGGCAGGCAAAACCCCCCCAAAAAATAATGGGGCTTTTGG